TTAGACCTGTTAGAGAGGGAAAAGGATGGAGAATTAGGTACAACCAAAAAATGTACCATTCCCCAGACATAGTAAGAGAAGCAAAGAGTAGAAGACTAGGTGGGCTGGCCGTGTAATTAGGAGGGAAGATGGCAAACTAATTAAAGAAGTTTGGAGACAAAACCCAGCAGGAAGAAGATCCAAGATTCAATGGAACTGGAAGGACCAGGTGGAGTAAGATTTGCAAAGAGCAAGGAAAGAACATTCAGAGAATAGGGAGATATGGAGGCAACTTGTTGGCGATGCCAAATACCACCTAGGGTATCCATGGCCATCGGAGTAAGTAAGTAAGTAAGAATATTTATAAAGTGAGGATGCCGTAAGCAGAATTAAAGGTTATTTGTCAGTGGAGGTGGGAGTGGATTCTTGAATTTTCTGCTGTGAGCTTTCTGGTGGTCAGGGATGCACAAAATATGCATAAACCAGTGTCTAATAAACACTGTATAAATCACTAATAAACCAGTATCTCAGTGTCAGGAATAATAAATGGGCCCAGGGGTGCAGAGGTGTAGGTTTGTAGGGGGCACAACTATATCTCAGGCCCATAAAGAGCATCACTTGTAAACTGCAGGCCTTAAAACGCAAGTTTCAACCATTGTTTCCATAAATCTTTCATGTTTATAGCTAAAGTCTTACTCTATTTTCTTATATTTTGGCAAGTTTATAAACAATTTTATACAATTTCTAATGAACAATAAAGAGAATACTTAGTCATTTGGAGCAGGTAAGAAAGTATCTAAGTAGTAGTAAATAAAGTCAAAATAAAGAAAGTAGGGAAACAATCAAAAATTGTTTTTATTATCTTGGAATTAATTATTTTTGGTAAACAAAACATCATAAAATGAGATTAAACATTTTCAGGGTGGATTCAATTTACAAAATCCCATTTCTTTGAAAGCACCAAAACATCTGATGAAACCTAACTACAATCATTGAATAAATTAACAAAGTTTAGACCTACCTATCCTTTTTTGTACTCCAATACAAACATAAAAAAATAAAGCAATGAAGACAGACAAAGGTAGTGACCGCATGACGGACCAACAATCAGGAAACATCGATAGCAACTACAGTGTGTATGCTATCATTGGCCAGACGGTGCTGTATTCCCGCGACAACTTGGATTCACAAAGTAAAAAATCATCTAAGGAACAGTTAAGTGAACAAGTAAAATACTAGGAATCTTTGTGGTCTCTCCTCGTAACTCCACTCTATCACCCAGGAGAGAAGCGCTGTTCAAATCCTCAACAAGCTGATTTTAATATTAAAAGGACACTGACAGATGTTAAAGTTATTTTCAGATGTGAATAAACTTGAATATCATCACTTAAACATTTTATTAAGACAGCAATACACATTGAGTATTCAATGCCACTTTAGTAAAGGGGCTAGGTGGGCCTTAGTGCCAGGGGAAAGGAAGAAAACAATTCCCCGGAAAGGATGGGGGTAGCCGGGTAGGGAGCACAAATACCTCTTTGGCCCAAAGCACGTCACATACAATCCCCGGACCTGTGAGTATATTAAACTGAATATTAATGGAGGATGAGTATTAATGGAATAAGATAATCGATAACTCGAGAAGGAGTTGAAGCTCTTCAAGTAGCCCCCCCCATACAGTCACAAAGGTTTGTATTGTAAGATAAACTAGATATACTAAATCAGCTGTTTGATTTAGCCAGGACCATTGTCTCGAATGTCAAAGTCATCTGTGTCCAACCAGTCTTCTGATATTTGGCAGAGAAGATTATTAGATTTAAGGTTTAAACCTTCAGTACAATAGATTATCAGGCCTAAACGCAAGGTTAGATAAGTAGAAAGGTTGGAGAAGGCAGAAAATAATAATGTTACAAGTCAGGAGCCCCGCGCAACAATAGCCAGGCGCCGTATCAAAAGGGTTGTTTGTTTACACGGGTTTCGCCGTACGTGCCAGTGAAAGACAATAGACCCATGTCAACGGACTACGTCAATAGGGTCTTTGACATCCACTAGAAGCTTCCACGGTGATCTGTAAACAGCTTTGTTTGGGCCACTAGGTGCCTCCAGAATGTTCCACGGCAAAATTATATAAGGGACCGTCTTCCGGCACACGACAGTTGAGTTGAGTTGAGCCTTCCGAGAATCTTCGCAGCAAGCGCGTGTCGGTGTTAGTGACCAGTGCTAGTGCTAGTGGCAGTGACAGTGTAGTGACGGTGTAGAGACAGTGTAGTGACACTAGTGACAGTGTAGTGACAGTGTTGTAACAGAAGTAGTGATAAATCCTGTAAAGGTTAGCTGTAAGTAGAATCATAGTAAATTAGAGTAGGCTTTAGCTAGGTTTAGATAGGATTAGTTAGGTGTTAGGTAATTGTAATATCTGTAAATATAGAATAATTAGTGTAAATAAATAGTTATTATAAAATCGCCAAGCTTTATTTGTAAAGAACCTGCTAAGCCCGCAACAATAAAAATAAAGGCACTGAACATCTGGTCATCACTTAAAGTTTCCAATACACACATTATTACACAGTCGAGTATCTTCATCTGGGAGGCTAGAAGAGATGGAGCCGTTGCTAGTTGCTACCAAGAAGCAACTCCCATCCTCTCTACACAGAGCCCTATCTGAATGCACAGATTAAAAGTAATCATTGCTTTAGTCCGTGGGGATTTATATAAGATCCAACACAATACTTTTGAAAATAGAGTTAGAGAAGCTTAATGCATGCTCGGGAATTAAAGGTGTTTGAGGGACTAGTCTTAGTATTTTTCTAAATGGAAACCTGTGAGAATTGCCACAGAAAAGCCAACGGAAAACACTCAAAGATCAAATTCTTCTTTCTCCTTGCCAAAAATGATGAGCAACTACAATCAATTTTTGGATGGTATAAAGAAATTTCATCACTGAAGTAAAGTACCACTTTAATCAAGTTTTGAAAACAAAACTCTGCATTTTTTCATATTCTATCGAACTACATTCTAGTATTCTATCACAGAGAACTCTGTGATTCTATACAGTGGTGGTAAATTTGTAAGCTCATGTAGATATTACTCTATTATATCACATAAGGCAAATTTATAAAAACACAAGCTGTAGTAAAAAAACATTAAATATTTCAAACGTTCAAACAATAATAAATCATAATAAGTTAACAGTTGGTCAAACCAAGAGTGCCTGATCTAGTGGGATAGGCCTGACACATATCACAGAAGTAAAACACTTGGCCTACTTCACACAGACACAGGCAAACTTTACAGAACAATATTCATGTAAATTACTGCATGCATTTATTAATTGTATCCCAAATGTAATTTTTCTTTGGTAACAGTCTTAAAATAAACAGTATCAGCAATCTCACACAAACTTTCCCCTATTTGCTTGTCAACAACCCTTATCATAGGCAAGCAGTAGGTGGGAGGGTCTTTGCATATTTCATGGGGAAAATTCGATAAGTTAAAATAACTTTTGAACCAAAATTTTTACAGCATTAAGGTTGTACCATTTTGTTAAGAGTTAAACGAACCATAACATACTAAATTTTAATCAAAAACACGTTTGAGTGCAAATCATTTTTCTGTTTTTTTTTTTTATGGGAAAATTACCACTAAAAATAAAAACACCAGGAGATTGTTACATTTCAAATTTTCATCAAAATCAGGCCACAGGTGGAGTCTGTTAGATCTGTACAAATCCACACACACATCCACATATACATACACAGTAAACACATATTACTTCAAAAACCACTTTTTTTGTTTTCAGGGGGACCTAAAACGAATGTTTACACCCAAAACTCGAACTCAATAAATTTGCCCAAAAAATAACTTTCTTCTGGGGGAGAAAGTAAAAAAAAATGTATAATTGTATTGTGGATAACATGATAATGCATGGAAAGAGCAGATATCTTAAAGTTACAAGTATAAAGAAGTAAGTAAAGTTAGAAGTCTTAAAGTACAGAAGAGATAGTAAGCATAAGTGTTCCGAGAGGTTGATTCAGCTGTTGTCACAGAAGTTTCTGTTAACAGACGTCTGTAAAATCTGGGACTCTGATAACAGAATAAAATAGTCACGTTCCTTTTTTTAATCACAAACTAGCAATATTTACCTTGGGCAATCCTATGAAAAAAAAATAAAAATTGTATGGAATCACTGGGTATTTGATTTAGCTTGTTTTGTATTAGGAAATAAAATACACCAATGGGTAGTGTAGCAACTTCCTATTTTGTAGCCTGCTATGGTCAGGGGATTTGCTAATAATGCAATAAATAGTTTCTTAGATCTTCCAACACTTTTCCAAATGAACACAGAACCTACTAGATGATCTTCAACTTTTTTCGTGAACGAATTCAGTAGACTGTAGTTGTTTAATCCTTTTCCTAAACCAATTTAAATACTCTTTAACATGATATTTTCTAAACTCTAGGAGAGGACTCGAGATGTTTTGGTGAAACCAATCTAGCACACCATGGGTCTTAATATTTTCCTGAACCAATCCTATCTTACTTAACTGCCCCTTTTAAAACAAGTCCAGAATTACTGGGGACATCCAAGTACAAATTATGACTGACTAGAAACAACTTTTTTATCGCAAAAATAGTTTTAAAAATTTGGCAATTCTGCACGTTTTGAACATTACAATCTTAAATCTAAATTTAGTTCATGAGTGCTATGGTGCAGTAAATTCAATTTGTTGCTGATAGGCCTACAATTTTAGAGTTTGAATATAACCAAACAAAAATCCAACCAAAATCTATATTTTAAGTATCACTAATCTTTAACCTTAAAATAGCAATTGTCTGGTAAAAATAATCAGCAAGAACTATACACATGACAAAACTATCGACAAGGCAGAAAATAAGTCAAAAGTCAAAGGATAAGCTACTAGAAACCACATGAGACTAAATTGAACCCGATTAAAAATGATAAGATTAATAAGTGGGATTATCAGAAAGAAATGTTAATTATTGTCTCTTTGATAAGCAGTACCAACAGCTGTTCAATCAGTACCAATTGGTTAGTGTGGAGTCTGTAGGTGTTGGTGTGGAGGTAAAACTCAATCTGTGATAATGGATAACAGGGTACTGGCGGATTTACACTTTGATGGGGTACGTGTGGCTCATTAAAATAACTTGGTCATGTATTGATTAGTTCAAATAGATAAATAACCAATTTGATAATGCTTTACAATAATCTCTTGTAATAAATTTCAGGTAATAATTTTGACTCACTCGGTAAGGTTTTGTTAATTTTTCTAGAAGGTTTAATTCATAGTTATTCATGTACCAGTAATAAAATACAGGTATATTAAAATAGCGTATTATAAAGGTGTGTGCTGAAGCTTTTCAAGGTGTCAAGTATTTATCAACATCTGGATGAACGAGATTATTTAAATTAACTTCCGTAGGGACACGAAAACTAAATATCTACTTCCATACAGTATTATTAAAGTGATACAGTAAAATTTGTGGTAATTGTTTAAGAAAAAAAAAATAAAACATTGTGTCCCTTATCTTTGAAATAAAAGTAGCACAGTAATCACAATTAATTTCTTTAGCTTATTTTAAAAATGTATTATATTTTTTTATAAAAAATACATTCAGTTTAAAGAAGTATGAACATTTACACATAAACCCTGTTTAGATATGGTAAGAATTTTAGCGCTGAAGTCACCAATGGATTTTATCCAAGTGATAATGCCGCAACCCCTAGGTCTAGTCTGAAGTAATGTGAAAAACAATCCCAGGCTCGTGCCCAGCGTCCTAGGACAAGAAAAAGAAAAAAAATTATTTTTGAGCTATCCATTATGATTTCTAAACAAATATGAATTATGTATTAATAATACTGTATTTGAAATCTATAGTTAAAAACATAAAAGATCAAAACTGTTTTCTTGAGTTGATGGAATGGGACGGTAAACAAAATAATGTATAAATTATATTTTTAATAACAAATTTTAAATGTAAAAATAATTGGGAGTCTTACATTTTTAACAATGAATAAAAAAAAAATGTTTTAGTTTTGGGACTGGTTTGTGCATTACACCCCGGTTGAGCCATTGCTGAAAAATCAGCCAACATATCTGATAGTTCAAGCTTCGTTTCTTCTGGGCGGCATTCTCACTCTATTACATGGTAAGTATTATTACGTTACAAAGGCAAGAAATGATGTTTATGGTGCGAGAATGATAGTTCCTGCAGGATTTCATACAAGTACAGATTCTGTAAAATATTCCCGCGTGAGTCACAAACAATTCTTTTTGACAAACTACCAGCAAGAAATATACAGGATAAGTAAAACACATCCCACACTTACAATGACGACGCTGTTCAATATTACATTTAATAACACATCTTTTAAATAATAAAAAAAATATTATAACATTGTTACCCCTTTCCGATTTGTTATGTGAAAGTACAAAGGAAATTGATGTTGATATTATAATGACTTGCTGGCCAGCCGACTGTTTTGCTCACCTTACAATCAAAAGGTTGCCAGATCGATCCTGAGAAAAGTCAGTAGTTTTTTTAATGGTTCGAAACTGATGATCCTGGCTGATGAAACATCTGATCTTAGTCAGTAACAATACTACACAGATCATCTCACAACATTCTACTCATCGTTCACTCTTGGGTTAAAAATGGGGGTTTTCAATTTTGATGGTGCTTTCATTGAAATTTAGAACGTTGTAGTCTTTTCACCCCTAAATAAAATGGTTCAATTCCCCACGCTGTTAAAATTATGGTTCAAAAGTTGTTGCAATTTTTATTGCAATCCCCATAAACTCATAAATTTTCATAAAAGTGTACAGCTATCAGACTACACCTGTGATGTATTCGGTGTGTTGGCCCTAACCAGCTTCTTAGCACTTTTTGCATTTTATATACCTACGCAGTTGTCAGTTTTTTAAGAGAACAACGTCCTTAAGTATTTAAGACGCTAATGAGGAAGTATGTTAGTTTGCTGATACTATTTATTTATACTCCTCACTTTACCTGATGTCTGCACACAGCCCTGCGGGGGAGAGGGAGACTACCATATCTGTGGCTAGCGACTTTACTGCACGGGTTGGTGGTAGAGTCACTCTGCTATGTACTGCCCGATGTTGACAACTTCTGGCACTCTCAGTCTCCACTTATTTTTCTTGGACGCAGACTTCCTATACATATAATATTCCTCTGTAAGTACACAGATTACTTAAATTAGTACGTTTTTCCTCAAATATTGAACTGTTTTATAAAATACCGCCTCAGAACAAAGGCATATCTTATACTGAGATGTGAACTATGACACTTTAAGTTGATTCTGTGCAAACGACAATGAACATTTTGAAAAATATTAGACCAGTAGTCAAAATAAAGTGTTTGGTCCTCGCCATTTCCACAATAATGTGTTTAACATTGTTTTGTAATATTAAAAAATAGAAATAGAATATTGCACTGTGAAAAAATAGACCTGAATTAGGTCAAATTTAGCAAATTTTATTTTAAGCCAAGTTAAAGTGGAAAATGGGAGTAACGCCTTTTCTATAGCTTTGTTACTGACTTGCTAGTTCTTTAACCAGATTATTACTTACCCAAGAGGATCAATGTCCTGCTTGGTCTATTTTTAAGTGAAAAAAAAAAACTATTCCAAAGCCGTTTGAGGATTTATCAAACTAGCCGATGGAAACAGCTAAAACAATGGAATATTAATATACCTGTACGGTTTTTTGTCCACGCTTGTGGAAATGTACAGTGTAATAAAATAACGTATTGTGGAAATGTACAGTGTAATAAAATAACTTATTTAGGGAAAGTGGTCCAACCCATATGCGTGCCAGTAATCGAAACCATCCTCCCACACCTAAGGCCAAGAAGCTTACCACTATGGTAGGTTAAAAAAAAATAACCAAAATAATTTGTTATTAATGATCATGTTTGTTTAGATCCGTGCTTCATCTATCAGGCATCCATAGCCGCTGCTCAGTTGAAACTTCCGAGGTGGGCAGAGCCCTTTGCAGGTATGATAACATACAATCTCAGTCGATGATGGTAACTGAATAAATAAAACACAAATTCATTGTCAATCACCACTAGATTCTCACCCAATAGTGTGATTTGATTTGGTGTGCCCTCGGTCGGAGCCTCTAATGCATCTATAGAGCTCAGGATTTTGCTATTAACTCTAAATAAAAGACAGCCAGCTATATGGGACGGTATGTGAAAAACATACTGTTTGGCATGGCCAAGAATAGAACCTAGCAGTCACCTCTTTAAGTTATATAATTATTAATTTTAATGTGGTAAAGAGGGCCACTTATAATGAAGGATCAACCAACCTTTTAGTATTTTACCTAACCCGCCATGTTAAACTTCCCTATCCCAAGCGTGATGTATATAACTTCGTTACTTCTCGAGTGATGTAAAGTTGAAAAAAACTCACTCGGTGATGTAATGAAACCCATTTAAATAACATTGAGTGCTTAACTTTAAAAATATACCTCTATGGAGGCAACGACGTTCTACGCTAGAAATCAGCTGTGCGCTTGAATTTTATTGTTATGTTTTGAAGAATTTTCCTAACCTAGCTTTTGTTTGTAAATGAACGTTACTGTTAGAAGATGAGTGAAATGGATAATGGAAAATATTGTTCGTAACCTCCTGTATATTGTCGGGTCAGGTAAAATCTTGTACGTTACACGTTACGCAAGAGCGTGTTTACATCACTTCGGTAAATTATGCAACTCGCTTTCGCTCGTTGCACAACATTCACCTGCGTGATGTAAAAACGCTCATACTACACTTGTAAGGTAAATAGCTATTACACTCTCCTTTCATTTTCATTCTTCTGACTTGGTAATTAATTCAAATGTCTGCTTTCACAATAAATGTACTTTTTGCTCTTTTACTTTTTTCATCCATGAGATATTTCTTCAATCTACTTTCGCAGTAACAGCACACATGTTTATACTTTTCCAGTTGGTCTGCTGGTAGTGTTGATAGACATACCGTACGACATTGTCAGTGTCAAGTTTGTTCACTGGTCCTGGCATGACACTGACCCCAACATTGCGGACCGTCACTACTGGGTGCCTTGGAACTCTTACTACTTCCATCTCACATTCGCAGCTAGCTTCACATTCTGGTTCCACACTGTTCGCAAATGGCTTGATCGCAAAACTGCTAAATGGCAATCCTCCAGGTGAACTGTCATTCTCTTTACAAAAATTGATATTGCTCCCCTAACAATGTATTGCAGAAGTAAGTAGTGAGTGAATATCATATACCTCTTTTGAGCATATAAATATCGATTTTTGGTAAATTTAAAATGTAGAAGACTTGAGTGAGATTTAAAGAAAACTAGCAGCCAGCGTCACTTTGTAACTTCAAAATCTGTGATATATTTGAATTAATTTACAATTTTCTACTGCTCTGAGTTAAGTAGAAAATAGGTAATCTATTTTTACTAAATCATTACTTACCACTGAATTTTTGCAAACCCTGAATATAACTTTCTAACTAGTTTTTTCAATAAAATATGAAATCATGTATAAAACAGTGAACACAATATAAAGCATCACAAACAGCATACATACTACTTCATTCACTAGTCCAAGTTCAAAAAGAGTTACTGAATTGTCCACGGCTTAGGGCGGTTAATAAGGGTGAAAACGATTATTTCTTATCATATCCCTATTATTTACATTGCTTGCCCTATTATTTTCATTGTGTGCACGATCTCTTTGAGGCATCTTAGAAAAATTACAAATACTAATGAAACATACTATGAAAACACAGAATCTAACATCATTGTCTTTTTTACATGCTCAAGAAATAACATTAGGCCTACAATATTTTACTTGAATTCACTAATCACCAACTTTAACAATAACCCCATTTTTGTACGGATGTAAACAACAAAATTGTATCATGGTCATCTGTTTTGATGTAAACAAATGTAAGTTAAACTTGAAAAAGTTCAGATGATTGAAAACAGAATTCAGCACAAACTCTGAAATTTTTAAAGCCTATAAGACAAAGGGCTATTATGGGATAACATCCCAACCCGCAAAAGGCAAATCTAGAGGATAAAAGCTTAAATTTTTTACCCTATGAAAAATAAATATTTAGGGGTTGATTTGCTGAATAAAAAAATTCAACAAATTCTTTTAATAATATAGATTGTGTAGTTTTAAAAAGTGTTCTTGTAGCTTAGAAAACTGAGACAAGTTAACATAAATTAATGGTGTTGAAAGTAATAAATTGGTGACACTGTGGCTCAGTCGGCAACACAGTGGTCTGTAGAACCAAAGCATGATTGCGTCCCCGTACCACTTTGATCAATTCAGTTCATTTTCTTTGCACTTGTTCGATACAATCTGCACACTATGAATCCCAGGTGGACAAAGAAACTCAAGGTTAAAAGTGACTGCCAACCTATTTCTTACAAAAATAATAATTCATGTTAGATATATCAAATGAGTTTTGACCGGATTTTTCCCATGATAGATTTGGAGCGGAGTTTCTAACCATGATACTAGCCGCAGTCCTAGGTCCTTTGGGAGGGATAGCACTGTTTGTTCCGATATACCACCCTCTCCACGACCTCTACAAAATCCACTCGGAGGTCACCTTCTTTATACTCTTCTCTATTGCTTTACTCCTGGCTTGGTCTGGCGAGAAATATCCAGCCAAAGATGGAGAAGTCCGTAAGTATAGTATACTGTACCAACGATATAAACAACTCATGGATCGCTGCGCGGTCTAGCTTCCCCCACCATCTGCTGGCAGAAGCCGACGCAGCCTATACACTCACAATTATAAAACGCACATTTTTAGTTGCTGCTCTGTTCAAATATATAGGGATAAAATATTGCCAACGCTTGTCAAACTATTTAAACCTTTATGTCTCTTTTGTTTCTTGCAGAAAATAGCCCATCTGAATTCATTAAAACTACAAAGTCACTAAACCCGGTTTTTAGGTGTTTTTAGAAAACTGATATTACTAGTTCCAAATTGTACAAGGTAAAATAATAAGTGATTACAAATAAGGAGAAATAGAATGTACAATATTTGTAATTGAAATCCTATTTTATTTAACAAAAAAATTTTACATAAGCATTTAGAATGGTTTTGCTAAGTTTATGCCTAAGACGTAACGTTATGTTTGACGTAAACGCGATACTTTTTTCTTTCAATGTGTAATGACAATGTATCTTACAAATAAGTCACAAAAAAGGAAGAAATAAGTAGGCCTAGGCCTATCGCGTTAATGTGAAGCGTAGATTTGCGGTAAAACTGGACAAATGTAGTCGGAGCTTTAAGAGTTCAAATATGTTATTTTCTGCAAAAAAAGAAGACATCAAGTTTAGAATAGTAAAAAGAGTTTGGCATGCATTAGCAATATTTTATATCTATATTTCAACAGAACAGCAACTTTAAAAAGTGGGTTTTACAATGGTGAGTATATGGACTGCGTTGGCTACTGCCAGTGGTGAGGGAAGCTAGACCGAAAACAGCGTTTGCAGTGCTACTGAGAGCGCAATCCAGTAGTTCTTTACATCGTTGTACTATACTAACTGCAATTATTTTCATCGATGGTTGCATTTTATTTCTAATTCAAATTACAGCAAAGTATTGCCTTGAGCTTCATCTCGGGGTTAAACCTAGCTTCAAAGTCTTTTCTCAAGAAAGAACTGACAGAAGAAGTCATTGAAAAAAATCGTTGAAGATGAGGCTGAAAGGATAACCATTTGATACATTGAACGTACTTCTAGAAAACGTCATCAGTATTGTCTCTCCATCTTTTTCAATAACATTGACATTTTTAACAATTAAAACTACATGATGTCAATGGAGTCTATATTTACCGAGAACTCCTTGAATCAGAAGATTTTGTGATACAACATGGGAAGGAAAAACACTTCTACTCGTAAATTTACACTATGTTTGATTCAGGGTTAAGATGGAGATGGCTGCCTTTGCTGGCTCTCCTGGTCCATTACTTGGTGTTCCTCAGCCTAGTCATCTTTGGTCAGCCTGAGAAGGAAATTTCTGTTGGTCTTCACGAACCCATCGGACCTTGCAATCTCACTCGGCCTGTCCAGACAATATTAGGGGTAAGAAAAAGCAGTCGAGGATACACGGGTTCACGATAAAATTACCACTGACTTGTAATAATAGACTTCTAACAAACTAGGCCGCAAGAAAGATTGTCCACACATTGCAAACTCAGAATGGCAAATGTTTACACGCAGCCTTTGTGTCTTAAGAAGTAGCTTCCTTGGTGCAACATTTATTCTGTCCAACTAAGTTGTTTTTGATAAGTTCTCAAGATGCCGTGGCAGCTGATAATGTATGACTAAAACAAGAGTGTGAGAAAAACAAAATAAACCACACTTGACTGTGATAAGAGCTTAATAAATGTTAATTTACAGACAACCCTCATATTATATGGGAACAGGTATTCTCGGTAAAGGGTTCAGGCCAGAATTGATTAAATTCTTTGATAGAAATAGAAGGCTTACCTGTACAGTGAGTAATATTTCAATTTTGTGTGTGTAGGTAAGCCTGTTCTTCCAATCAAAAACAAAATCAAATTTATATATAATCTCATTAAGACACCTAGAATTATTGGTCCACCAGCAATATGAGTGGTATTAAAATTTTAATGTTTTAGGTATTGAGTAAAAGAGAGTTTCTGTGTGCTAAAGACTACGATGAAAGTTACTACGACTTCCACTGCGCACCAGGAGGTGTACCGAAGGGCACAGCCAAGTGGTACACTATATGCGGAACACCCTTCCAGAACCGTCCTGAATACATTGCTGTGATATCCACACTCACCATGTTGGCCCTTGGAATCATCTCCAACATTTACTTCAAGTCTAAAAAGGACACTCAAGACACAAGGACTTTAAATGTGAAAAAACAAAAGTCTCACTAAGTGCAATTAAAGATAAGTTATTTTTTGTAATAATTGTTAGTTGTTGTTTTAATCCTTATCAAGTTGAAAATTAGTGGAGATATAATCATCATTAGTGGTAAATCATCTTTATTAAATATAGCTGACTGAAAAAGTCAGCGGTAATAAGTTAATTGTGTCTTTGTATAAAAAGTAAAAAGCCGAGTCTTGTAATTTTTGTTTTTGGAGAAGAACCAGTCGATATCCTTAGTTTCTGTAATGATCTTTCCTGTAATGACTTAACATCGTTTAAATGATTTTTAGGAGAAAAAGAAAAACGATTAAAATACAAAAGATTATTTTATTAAACTAAAAAACAAATAATGCTAAATTAAACATCAGAAACGGTATTTTTCCTACTAACACAGACTTAATTCTAAACAGTTTTACAAATTTGAATTGACAATCACTATAAATGAACATGGAAAATGGTTGAACAAGTGAAGGTGTCTGGTTAGTCTACTAGGAAACATTCATGTTCACATTTCCAATCTGTGTCGACCTCATTATGGCTTACAACTATTAAGGAATGAACTGTAAATACAAAAGACTTTTTCAGATATAAACACTCGATCAGACCTTAACTATACACCATAGAATCTTCTTAATTTTTGAATTTTGTACTGATCTGAAAGTGCAAATACTTTAATGTCACATTTTAATTATATCAAACAATACGTCATGTGAAAATTGATTACATAGTCTTTTCAGAAATGAATAACTGAAACATCATGAGCGTTGTGTAACGCGTCACACAGTGTTTATAAATTCACCACATCACAGGGAACTACACCGTCGTTTTACAGTTATGGCCGCCGGTCTGTTGTTGGTAAACTTCTATAGTATCCCCTTCCTCCATCTCTAGGGTTAGGGGGGTGTCGCTCTCATTTATTGCTTGTCCATCAAAGCGAAATCTGACAGCTGCCATGGCAAGCCCCTGCAAAGAAAAGCAAGGATTTACACAGAGAAACCGCCTTTTTTTTATTTAGAGAAACACTGGTTTGTTAATCATGTTGACACTCTCCTATGACAAAACATGGAAGGTATTTTGCCCCAGTGGAACAAAACAAAGGACATTGAATATTCAGGGTGTATACAAACTCTCTGGAACGCTTTTCAGGGTCTAAACAATTTTTAATGAAATTCCAGGGTTTTCCAGGAGCCTGCCTCAATGTTTCCCTCGTGAATGTTTAGTCCCACTTAAACAATATACATCACATGTACTTATATTTTCTAATTGTGTCAATGTTCAGTGAGCTACTGTTGACAAAATAATAATCCTTATCATAATCATTTTCATTGTCATCCCTTTATGGTTACGAAAACATTCTCTCTTTCGATAGCAGCATAAGCCTGAATATTATCTCCATTGTTCATGAAAACATTATCATCAGCGGAAAAATCCTAAATATCCTTCCGCGGTGAAGTAAACGTAATCACAGACTTCCGCAATCGTGGCAAAATCCACAAACAAATCAAATTTGCTGAGCTTATTCTTTGGAATGTTTTGTATAAGCTATGCAATTTTTTTATTTTTTTAAAAATATGAATTTTGTGCTTCTAAAAATTGTTTTATTAAAATAATGTTTGGGGTGTATACTTCCCCCTTGATCTGGGGTAAGTGTACACCCCCCTTATTGTTAGGTCCACTTTTATTAATGGGCGGTATGCCCAGAGGCGCCGAAGGTTTGGGGGCGTCCACCAGGTGCCTCTCAACCACTGCCTGCCCGCACTAGAAAAAAATGGGGGCACTGATTTGGGTTTGCCCAGGGCTCCACTGGCCCTTAACACGGCCCTGCTTATTGTAGCTTTCCACTGCATATTACTTGATGTTGGGGCAAGTGGATTGTAGAGGAGAATATTAGCTTTTTTTATTTTTTTATTTATCAAAATATCTCAAATGGTTCAGGAGTTATAAATTTTTTTGTGAACCTCCGAAAGGGAAAACTAAAACCACAGCTTTATTAGAAATTCTAAAGAAAATAAAAGCCTTATTATTCTACTATTTCATTGAATTAACACAAAGTCTCAAAGAGCAGAAAATGAGCTTTATTTTGGTTTTTTAATAATTAAAATATCTTAAACCATACAGTTTTTCGTAAACCTTCGCTCGGTGAAGTAACTTAAAACCTTAATATTTTTAATAGTAATTGACTTAGGCCCTTTAACTGAGGCCGCGGCGTTCGAAGTGGCAACACCACATGGGATGGCTGAATGGCTCCGACTACGCTACACCACTGAACGCTCGCACCAGTCACACCACGGAGGATTAGAGCAAGTACACAAAATTATCTATTAATTTAGATGTTTTATATCTGACAACACTGATGTGTATGAAAAGAAGGAAATAATCATACGAGGATTTTGTGTCAATACAAGAAAATATTTATTAAAACCCTTTATGGTACATTGAACATTTAAGTATTATTAACGAAGAATCATAGTTTTATTCTGTCTATTCAGCGTATCTACTCTAGTGTTTTTTATTTGTTCAAATGTCAATCCTATTTACATTATTATTTAATTAGGGCCTAACTCTTCTAAATAGCCTAGGCTATTGTTTTATCAATATTATTAGAATAATGACGTTTAATATACAATTTAATAAACGGTATCAGCATTCTGACACATACTTTCTCCCATAAGTTTGTCAAAAACCTTTATCATATGTATGTGGTGAGAGTAAATATACGCAAATGGGATTTGTACAATTTTGTTAAGAATTTAAAGGACTATAACATGCTAAATTTTTATCAAAATCGTTCGGGCCATTTTTGGGAAAATCCGATTTTTCTGTTATTTTATGGGGGTTTTATGGGAAAATGACATAATTTACAATAACCGTAATTTTTACAGAAATGGGATTTGTACCATTTTGTTCAGAATATAAAGGACTATAACATACTAAATGTTTATCAAAATCGTTCGGGCCATTTTTGGGAAAACCATATGTTTCCGATATTTTATGGGGTTTTATGGGAAAATCCCCATTAAAAATAAAAATTTCTAAAAAATAAAAAAAACTATAAAACTATAAGGACTATAACATACTATGTTAAATCAAAACCGGATTTTTTTCTAAAATCCTATTTTTCGTTAATTTATGGGGTTTTTATGGGAAAATAACATATTTGACTATAACTTTTGAACCGTAATTTTTACAGATATGGGATTTGTACCATTTTATTCAGAATTTAAAGGGCTACAACATACTAAATTTTTATCAAAATCGTTCGGGCCATTTTCGAGAAAATCCGATTTTTCCGGTTTTTTATGGGTTTTTATGGGAAAATTCCCATTAAAAATAAAAATTTCAAAAAAATGAAAAAAACGCCTGGAGATACCATGGATTAGAACCTACATACCAAATTTCATCGAAATCGGACTACAGGTGTGGTCTCTAGCTCTGTACACATCCAGACACACAGACACACACACACACACACACACACACACACAGACATCACTTCGAAAACCACTTTTTTGGGTCCAGGGGGACCCAAAACGAATATATCCACTCAAAACTCAAACTCGAAAATTTTGACGAAAACAATACTTTCTCCATATACTATGGTATAGGGGGAGAAAGTAAAAATTATAGCCTAAATGATTGGTTATATTTAGAGGATGAGTTATTGTTTATGATTATATCATTTATTTGGTAGAACTGGGTTTTAAATGACTGAAATAACAAGAAACAAAATGTAAACAAAACACAACATCTTGATCTAACTAACGATAAAATTGGCTTCAGCTGTTCTATAAGGATGGGAAATCTACTAAGGGAGTATGTTTTAACATCTCTGACCAACAAACAACAATTTTAGTAGGCGACTAGCGGACTAACTTTTTCACTTTGCTTTTCCAAACTTTTTCTAAAATTGACTTTTATTGCCAAAACAAAGTTATTTTTGAATTCCCTCTAAAAAAATTTAAGCAAGTTCACTAAATTTCAGTTAGTTATCCTTGCATTTCAATTTTTAGTAATTTTTTAAAAATTTTCAGAGTGGCAATTGTGTTATGAGTAGAAACGTAAGAGGTTCCTAAACATGTCTTAACTCATAGAAATCATAGCAAGAGAATTTATTTGTGATTATAACTTAAAAGAGCATAGTTTGAAATACCTTTGGCCAAGTTTCCATATTTTTTTGTTAATAAACAAATTTATTATTAGCTGGAAGTCCACTTGCCCCGGGCGTACACTTGTATCCCACTTGACCAAAAGAATAACTTAGGAATTTTAAATAATTTTTTTTTTTGAATTTTCTCTGTTAACTGCCAATAACCATACAAAAAGACTTTGATATAGGAAACTATTTGTTTTTTAAGCTCTATAAAAAAATCTAGGGAGAAATTGGGAAACTTTGTGTTTTGAGGGTCAAAAATGAGAAAAACCATTTTATTACCCAAAAAACACCCCGTAAAACCCCTTTCCCATGGTTCGATCATGCTGGTTCACAAACTCATTTAACTTTATCCCGCCTTACATCTTTAAGTTAAAAACCTAATTTCATCATAATCAGACAGAAATCACTTAAGTTATAAAACATTTTGGCCTTTGAGGAAATCAAAATGAAAAAGTCAATCGATCCCGGGCCTAGGTCTTACCGTGCCACTTACGGTAATAACTATTTCCTAATTGGGAAATTTGCCAAAACAGATTTGCTCAGTCTGTTGATAAAATTGGACTGAAAAGCCAACACTACACACACTTCAGAGTTCTTAGTCAGCTCCATAATCTAATTCCAATTAAGTTTTTAGTGCAAGTTGTCAGGTTGTAAGCTTAAAATAAGAGGTGTGCAAGCGATCTTTGAGCCATATCGAACAATGGAGCACCTAGTCAGAAAATCAAGCTAAAGCAGAGTGTTTCCCAATGCATCTGTAAAGAATAATGTGCAATTGAAAAGTTCATTGTTTCACTACAATTGAGGCGGACAATGCAGATATCTGCACGATGCGAAGAGTAACAAAAATCCCCGTACAATTTCCAGTTTTCCCAGTTTCCAGATTGGCTGGACACCCTGTATACCTATTTTAACAAATAGTTTGGTTAAAACCAGATTTCGCTTTATGAAGAAAAGTAAAGATTAGGGATTGTACAGCATGCTTTTGTTGATTAAATTATTAATAAATGTAACAATATCAATACGGTAGTAACAAACAAGACTAATCAACTCACCGCTCGATCGCAGTAGGCATTCATCAGTTTACGTAGAG